CAGGGGCAGGGGGTCGGACACGATGATCCATTGTGGTCCCTTCTGACTCTAGAATCTATGAATCTATGAATCCAATGACTTCATGATTTTTTTTCTTGGGTTTTCATCTTGGTTATCTCACCATTTCAAACGCAGCATATAGGTTCTTCATAGATGGTTCCTGCTCTTGTTTCAAGGTCATTCTATGATATAATAGTGTATTTTTCAAACATTTTCAGGTTTGCAAATCTTTATTTAAAGATATTTTCTTCACCTTCTTACATGTACAATAAAAATAAGAGAAAATATATAAATGATAATGGAGATAGATAGGTATAATTTATTTGTGCATTTGACATGGAAATAGAGAACATTTAATCTTGATGGATAAGAACGCGTGAGGATTTTCTAGAGGTGCGCCGATATATTGGTTGCCTGTTGGATTGGCACTGATAAAAGGGAAATTTACATTATCGGCTATCAGCTTTTTTTGGCTGTAGTAGCCGAAGAATGTTCTCTGATCATTATGCCTTCTAGCTGGGGCCCCCAGATGCCTGGGTTCCCTCCCATGAGTTCGGGGTGACCCTGGATACACTTCCATCCCCTCACCAGCGGGCTGGGCTGGGCTGGGCTGGAATGGAGCAGCTGCCGTGGTGTCCCAGGCACTAAATGCCGCAGACATGACTGGGGCACAGACCTGGATACAGGCATGAGCAATCCAGGCAGCCACCTGGGGCCTGGACAGAAAGGAGGGCCTGAAAAAGGTAATTTTTTTTCTGTTGTCTGATTATTATTATCATTATCTTTGGTGAAGGGGAGTCTGATACTAAAAGTTCACCCGTGGCTGCCAGGAGTCAGTACAGTACTGCTGGGGCGGGGCAGAACTGAGCTGCCGAGCTCGGCCCATCATCACTCAACCCGCAGTGCCTGAGGGTCTGTGCCCCAAAGGCCGGGGCAGAGCCTGGCAGAGGCCGAGGCAGCCGCTCCCACCTCTGTGTTTAACCCCAGGCTGGGGTTGAAGGGCAGGGGGCTGAAGGGCTCTGCACAGCCAGTCGCAGGCACTGCTAGGCTAGCCCCGCCTGCTGCAACTGGCCCAGGCACTTTTACATGTGCTCCAAGAGTAGAGAGGTGGCACCTTAGTTAGAGCAGCTCTGAGAGCCGCCGCTCTAATTAAAGTGCCACCGTGTCTCCTGTATCAGTGTCCCCATGCTTAGAAATGGTGGTGGGGGTTCTTGTTCGACAGGCTTTGGTTCAAGTGCCCCACTGCCATTTTTAAGCACAGGGATGCTGATACATGAGATGCTGGAGTCTGCTGTAGTGTAGCAATTCACACTCCAGCAGACTTGATTATTGAGTCTGCTTCACGTGCTGGAATTCCAGTGTGTCAAAGCAGCTTTGCTGCTCGTGTATAGGCACCTGTGAGGTGCTGTATGCAGAGCACTGAGGCCAGGCACAGGTGAGATGGCAGACGGCCTATAGCAAACCCTTTATTCAGTAAACAGATTTATGCTCTACTGTGTTGCATCATGCGCCACGTGATCTCTGTTATCTGTAAATATGTCCCAAAGAAGCTCAGTATGGGATTTTTTTAAGTGTCTGAAAAGAACAACAGAACAGCTGACTGCAAAGTATGTGCTGCAAATATTTTGCATGGAGGCAACACCAATAAAGATGTCAACACAACAAACTTAATACAGCACCTCAAGATATGCCAAGCTTCTGAACACAATGATTTCCTAAAGATGACTACAGGGAAAAAAAAGGCAGAGCAGGATAAAGCTGTGCCAAAGCAACGATCATTACAGAAAGCACTAAAATGCTCACAGAAATTTGGAAGTGGAGATGCCAGGGCTTAAGAAATTACTAACCGTTTAGTGGAATGTATAGCTCTGGATGATCAGCTCTTTTCCCTTGTAGAAGATACTGGATTCCGTTGTCTCACTGAATGTCTGGAGCCTCATTACACACTGCCCAGCGGAAAGTTTATAGCTGAGACTGTGCTGCCAGAGCTGTACAGTGTCATTTTAAAATGCATATAGATACTGGTTGAAGATGATCGCGTATTCATCAGCATTTAGCTTTATGACTGATATTTGGAGCTCTGTTGTGTCACCTATATCAATGCTGAGTTTCACTGTGCAGTGGATAGATGTGAATTCCAATTTACAGAGGACAGTACTACAGGTCCAGAAGTTCAGCAGTTCCCACATGGCTGAAGCTATTTCTATGGCATTTGACAAGAGGTTTGCAGCATGGAAAATCTTGAGGACAAAAGTTCCTGCCTTTTTTAGGGATAATGCAAGAAACATAGCAAAGGTGATGCAAGGCTCCGGTTTGCCAAGTTTACCTTGCATAGCATATACACTCCAACTTCTTGTGAATGAAGGAGTGTTGTCACAGTGCAGTGTGACTGATATACTGGCTATTGGATGAAAAATCATTGGGTGCTTCAAACACTCTCTGTTGGCCTATTCTCATCTTCAAGGGGTGCAGACTGAGCTCCGAATGTCTTTAAGAGGTTACAGCGGGACAT